TCTTCCCAAAGGTTTCAGGCAGCACGACTCCTGATTCCCACGTCATATTTGTTCCACAGGCTTGCTGGAAATGAACTTCTGCCCTGTTCTCTCCCTGCAGTCCTGCTCTGAAATCTGAGCTATGGCAGGACCCAGAGCCTGTTCCAGCTTCTGTTGCAAAGAGGAGAGCCCTGAAGTCTCAAGGGTGTGAGTGTGCAACAAACCCAGTGAGACACCTGCAAGGGACCCTGAGGAGTTGGCAGAATGAAGCTGAGAGAGCAGGGATCCATCCATCCATCCATCCATCCATCCATCCAAACAGGATGTTCTTATCACTGCAGACAGTGCTGCTCCTTTGATCCACAGACGAGCATTAAGGAATGGAGATAACCTGGGGCAGGATGCAAAAGCCCCTTATGGGTGGGACATAAAATAAAAAATGTATGAATTCATAATAAGAAATAGGTGAGGAGGTCACAGAGTGAGATGCCATGTCTTCAGCAACACTGAAGTGTGTTGGACAAAATGAGGATTCTCTGCTATTTGTATGTTTTATAAACGTTCTTTATTTTTAGCATTTTGAGGAATGGAAAGTTTTATGTGATTTCTATTAAATGTTGCTGGCAAATGGCTGTGAGATGTCACAGCAGACCTTCCCTGGTTTGGTTCTCTGTGCTCATACTTACCTTTCCACAGCAACACTGGAAAGATTTTGCTATACACTTCTCTTCTGCTTAGGGAAAAAAGTTGGCTCTGCCACTTCTTCAGTCTGTATTTATGCCAAACAGTGGATTTTGTAAGGGAAGGGAAAGGGGTCTTGTTCTCTGCTTGACAGGCTAAAGCGAAACTCTTTTAACAGCTATAAAAAAAAAGGCATTGTAAAACAGGCAGTTTATAAATGAAGGCTCCAGAGGGAGATCTTAATCAAAGCACTTGATTGACATAGACTCCTCGCTCCTCAGCAGGGCCAGAGTCCTGAACTCACGTTGTTAACAGTGTGGCACACACTGCTCCCCCCAGGGGCACAGATAGTGCCATTCCACTGGGAGGATCTTCCACGGACAGCTCAGCTGTGTCTTTGGATATAAAGCTGCTCATCTGCTTCTGTGCCACTCGTAGAAGTGTGGGATTGATAGTGCTGAGAAGCTCCAACACACCCCAGGCAGGTTCCTCTGCTGCCCCAGGGAGCCCCTGTGCCAGACTGGGAGCAGGGAATGCCATCCAGCCACCCCTGAGCCCAGGAATGTGCAGCAGATGTCTGCTTCTGGCATTTTTCCTGGATGAATGAGGCTGCTTCTATTCAACAC